GACGGGCGGATAAGGCGAGCGTAAAACGGGAATTCACAATGACTACACATTGTATAAACCTCTCTTGCCGTACGCATTTTACACATCCTGCGTGTGTACCTGCGCGCAAGATCGTGTGACGCAACGCAGCTTCCGGCGCGATGCTATTGTCGCCCTTCTCCCCCCGCGCGGCCGCTTAATCATCGAATTATACCGAGCGCTTATCTAAGATCGTAGGCAATTTTAACAGAGCTATTTATAGGCACTCGCAGGGAAAACACGAGATTTTAACGCATTTCCACGAATGAGTTCTCTTCCGAGCTCATTGGCGGCCGAATGCGTCACTCTGCTCGGCCGGACATGTTTCCTGTTGTTTGTTCACCCGGATAAAATGATGGGGCAATACTGTTACAAATCGCGTCGTCTCTCATCCGCTAACGTCGACGTCGCGACATGGTTGGTTACTAGTCCATTCGACATGTCAAATTTCATTAGCGAATCCTCGTCAGGAGCGTCATCCGTTTTTTTTTCAGACACGAAGTTCGCATATTTTCTGTAGCGTTGCCGGGGATCGTGGTGGTCGGTGAGTCGCTTTATTTTTTTCCCCCCGTTTTGATAGCACCGGATCGTCGGTCGCGTACGCGAACGGCAAACCCGAGAGAGACCCCCTTAAAACCGAAAACATATGGCGTACAATTACGACGTAATGATATATAATTAATAGAATTCGCTCAAGGGCCTCCCCTCCGGTTGTTATACGGCATGCATGTTTCTTCGAAAAGCAGAGGGAACCGCGTCCATAAGCGACGACTCGGGAGATCCGTCCTCTGAATAAAATTCTCATCGCCCCGTGTGTATGTACTTTCGCCCACCGTTTATATACGTATCGCTCGTATTTCGCATGTCACGGCTCTATAAAGGCTAGAAAATTGTCGACAGTGCAACATATTAATTTTCCAATGTCACGAACGGCTCTCGGCTGGCACCGGGAAACTTTCCTGACTGTCGGACGTTAAAGGAGGAGCGAACTCGCCCGAATGCAAGCACGTTCCCTCGTTTGTCGTAGACGGTCATTTCACTTTCAACACGCTCTTCTTACCAAGTACCAATTAAACGTAGCGTTATATTTGACGCGCAATATTCCAGCGTCGTTAATCGTGACGTTAATGCACGATCAGCCCCGGACGAGATCGCCGCGCCCTAAAAATTCTCTTCCTCTTCCTCCCGACAGACAACGAGACTGTACTTGGAGGTTTCTTCGAGTAGCATATCTCGAGCGTACTCCCGGCCGCGACGATATGTATTCCGCGGCATTCAGACAGGGCACACCCCTCGTACATCATCCTCCACCTCGAGTCCGCCGAACCGATCGACCGATCCACCCACGAAACGAAACACGCCTGCGATAGGATCGAACTTTCGCACGCGGATGTGTATCGCTCATTACGCCTCTCTCTCCTTTGTTACGTAACATCACGGGGATGCTAACGAACTTCGATTCGTCCGGTATTATTCTCCAAACGATGTTCTCTTCAACTACCAACCGGAGAGACCCGGGAGACGTAACGAAGGGAACTCTTTCGAATTTCGCGCGTCTTATTTACATGTAATTCCGATATAGACGCGACCTCGCGTGTGGGTGATAAATTGCGCGTTACAGCCGCGATATATATTCCGGAACGTTAGACACGGTATTGCCTCGAATTAAACTGATCAATTTGTTCTATCACTCCGATGCTATATCGGTACAGCGGGGATTCCGCTTGTGTGCGGCTCGTAAAGCTTTTGCGCTATAATTTGCGAGGCTAAGCCCACGTTAAAGTTAATAAATTCAAGTACAATGGGGGCTGCGCGCTAAAAAGAGCCACAACATAACGATACAATATTTTGCTCCCCGTCGGAGGACGTGGGTGTAGTACGGAGCAGTCAATTATCCCGCTCGTGCAGAACGGATTCAATTAATCGAACGATTTAATCGGGCTGTCGAGCCAATGCCGGACGTTAAACGATTCAAATTCACGCCCGGCGCCTTTCCCCGCTCTTTACAGGCCCGAGTCCTGAGTAACCGTGCCACGAAAGCTGCAAGAGCGTGGCGAATGATTCTTGCTATTCTTTGCTCGATATTTACGCCACCATTCCGCTGCTCTCGGTTGTTGCGTGCAGCCAGGTCAACGAAAAACACAAAGACCGGTATTCATAGTCGAGCCTTACATTTAAGACGGTCTGAAACGTAAGATCCGACTATGAGTGCCGGCGAAGAAATCAACAAAGTCCATCGTGATGCGTTCTATATCGCGTTTAATATCTTCGTTCGGTTCACGACGCGAGGCTGAGAGGATCGGTGTTCATCGTAAGGCGGACATTGTACGACGAAAATAATTCGGGTCTCTCGCGTTATCAGCGAGCTATCTGACGCGCGATTGACGGCTGCAACGATTTCGCGGATATAGACACACGGCGATCTGGCGTACGAGAATATCGGCGGGCAGGTAACTTTCAAACTAAAGCAAAGCGAAACGGCGCAGAGCGGCGAGAAGAGCGGCCGCGAAGATATAACGTGCGCGCGGGACAGCAACGCGGAGGAAAGGGAACGCGGGAACCGGGTGGAAACGAAACGGAGAGAAGGTAAGCAGAGAGACGGAAGAGAGTAAGAACGGGAGAGTGACAGGGAGAGCGGCGAGAGAGCTGGAGAAAGAGGGAGAGAGAGAGAAGGGGAGGGAGGGAGGGAGAGAAAGAAAAGAGAGAAAGAGAGAGAAACGAGAAAGATCAAGAGACGAGGCGAGCGTGAAGCAAAAGAGCGAGAAAGAGGGCGAGACAGGCTGAGGTAGGATCGTAGAGGTAACATCGTAGAGGCTGGGACCTGATCCCAAAGGTAGGAGGACTCGGGTTGTGCCGAGGCCAGTCCATCGCGGGCCCTCCTCTCGACCGAACGCGCTTTACTTTCTGCCCGCTCATTCAAATTCCCATGTGTACGCGCGCTACACGTCGAACTCCCCGCGTGTCGAGTAACCCCAAAGCGCGGCTGCCACCGACTCTTAGTGTCGCGAGCCGCCGACCGTGTCGTCGGTCATAGCAGTGCTGATACCGCGGTGGCGGCGGCACCGACGCCGCTGCTGCTGGTGGTGGTGGTGGTGGTGATGGTGGTGGTGGTGGTTACCTTGAGCACCAGGTTGTACCGCGCACACCTTGCACAGTTACCCTCTGCTCCAGTTCCCGCACGCGACACCACACGACGTCCGCTCGATCACGTCCGGTGAATCGCTCCGGTTTTCCCGTAGTTGGCCGCGGGAAAAAGGAAGGAAAGGGTCGCCCTTTCGAGGATCTCGCGCGCGCGAAAAGGACACTTATCGATCCGGTGGTCTCACACGCTGGCGCGATGACGTCTGCCTCGAGCGGACGGACGATGAGTAACGACGTGCCGGGAGATACGACCTCGAGGAGCGGTGACGAGTGAGGAAGGATGACGGCTTTGGCGTGTCGTCGGTGCGCATGGACGATCGACTGTTGGAATTTGTATCACATTGTTGCTCTCGAAGCGATCGAGGATTGCCGCGAGACGACGTCGACGCTGATCGATCTAAACGCTTAATGGAACGCGCGTGAACGGATCACCGATCTCGCGCGCGCTTTGGTACCGAGCGAAAAAAAGGGAAGGCTCGGACAGGAAGTCGCGTGAAACAGCTTCGCAGGGACGAAGACAAGGGATATTCCTCGCGTCGCTTTGTTCGCGGCGAGGCGCTCCGAGTCGACAAGACGTGGATTCAAAGGGACTGACACGGCGGAACAATAAGACAACGAGACAATAAGAACCGGTAGCTCCTCTTCGTCGGGAGGGTGCTCTTTGAGCGGCGGATTTCTTCGCGGCCGTTCGTCGCGTACAGACCGGCGAGTACCACCGATGGCGAAGCGGAACGAGCGCGTGACTACCGATTCATCAGCACCGGCTCGCTGCGATCGACGGAGAAGAGGATCGCGTTAAGCGTCGCGGCAGTAACGATGATGAGCTGGCCGATAAGCTGCCCCGGCGTCGAAATTGTTTGCGGGACGACCACGACGAAGGACTGCGCGAGGACAATCGGCCGATATTCTCGCGTGAGAGCGATCGCGCATTCGCGATAGAAACCTCGACTGTATAAAGTGTACCGATCAAGACGCACGGTTGTCTTTTTAATTGGTGTCGATTTGCTGACGAGAGCCGCATCCGTCGTGCGCCCATTAGGATAATAAACCGAGTCTCCTCCGGATAAACGCGTCTAAACCGGGATAGACTTTCTAAGTCAGGTCTCGTCCGGCTCGATCACGCCTCATTAAGGTGAATCGAGTAAATCGCTTAAAGTAACATTCCACCGATAGTGCGGCGATCCGCCTCAAAGAAGGAAGGACACGACTCTCAACTCGGATCACTCGTGATACTTGATTGAATTCGAGAATCTCCAGACTCTATCCGGAATCTACGATCTTAATTATCGGCAACGAGGGAGGCATCAACTGTGGGCAGCTCCTCGCTTAGTCAGCGCGAACCTTTTTCGAGAGAAAGAATATTTGGGGACGGTAAACACTTTCGGCGCGCGGCAGGGCGAGAGAGTGTTAAGCGCGCAAACACTTTAGAAAATCCAAATGTTGGCTCTGCAGTTGGACTCTTTCGCACCTGTCCGGCGCTCGCGGCTTTCCGCCGCCGTCACAGGGCGCTAACGAGAACGTGGAGTGATCGAAATCGCGACAAGCTCCGGGAACTTCTCACGACCGGCTCTCTCGTGAACGGCCGGCGTGCTGGGCAAACGGAGGAGAGAGAAGTTACACGTTGTAAAACGCGAGATACACAAGCCGACGAATTCGTGACCGCGCTTGTCGTCGAGCGGTAACGGAAACTGCGCGACCAATCCGATCCGGCAACGGAACGGGGTCGGTCCGTTTCGCACGACTTCCGCCCACCCGGCCGCTGATCGCGGAAGCGTGAAACTTTGTCGCGTACACATCCGTTTTATGCATTCAATAACAACAAGGTGATTGTGATGTAAGAGATGCGTCGCGGTGATATCGCGACCATCGCGATAGCCCTTCTCGTTCTTGGGCAGATCCAGGAGCCACGGCGAACCAGGTGAGAAACTCAGCTGCATTGCGGTGCATAAAACGCGGCGCAAGATCGAAAATAATCGCGTACGTTCGGTCGGATTAAGAGAATGTACACGCACCGTGCGAGAGAAGGGACCAACCTCACTTTTCGATTTGTGGCTGAAGCCCGGAAGAATTTTTAGATCTATACGGAAAGAAAAATTTTTCGAATTCGATAAAGTTTCTTTGATCGAGAGACAAATCTGTCCTTTGAAATGGAGCAAACGAAAGGATGTTTGATTCAACAAACGGAATTGTTTAGCTTCTCAAACAAGAAATATCTTTACGTTAAATAATATATTTCTATATTTAAAAAAAACTGCCTTTTTTAATATTTGCTTGGGAAAAAAACGAGAAAAATTCATGAAAAAAATTGAAAAATCCTGCTTTTTCCTTTTTTTCACTCATTTTCGGAAAGAAACCGAAAAATCGTGAAAAATAGAAAAATTCGGATTTTTCCGAGCTTGAAAAATGTGATACTATATATGCATGTGGGAAAAATATTAAATAACTTCTTTTTATTTCAGTGGAACAATATTTAATATATAATGAAATAATTTCTTTTACTGAAAACTAAATATTATATTTCCTCTAAATAATACTGATTTTTCTATCAAACAACATGATTTGTCCTAGTGAAACACTTTCATTCAAACAAAATTATATTCGATATTAAATTACATCGTAATCATATTAAACAAATCCAAGTTAAACACGTATACTGAGCCTGAGGAAATCTTTTTCTCCATATAGAGTCGACGTGTCTACTCTGTGGACAGGTGTGCTAAATGCGCAAGACTTTTCGCGATTGAAAAATAGTGAAATTCACATTGGCCTTTTTCTCCCCCTGTCTCGAGATACGGGTGCGTCAATTAAAATTCCCGCAACGAGAGGCGAGAAAAAACGTTGAACAAACGATCGATCTACCCTAACAATGTATTTCTACCGTATCTACAGATAATCTCGAAGAGACAACGTGTTGCAAGCCGTGAACGTTCCTCGATTATACCGTACCGTAGCGAAAAGGTTAATCGACAGTCGCCCGCGGCTAGAATCCATTTGCAAACTGCAGCGTCAATCGCGATCGCTATCCTCCAGGTAACGAGCAAACGGGCTGCAACGGAAGAAGTCGCGGAACAGGCGCGGCACGGACACGTGCCGACAGCCCGTCACACTCCGTCAAAATCGAGCGACCGTCGGAAGACTAGAGACCTGTGACGAACAATTATCAGTGACCGGACCTTCGGCTTCTCGCGCGTTTCGCAGGAACAAAGAAATATATTCCGAGGCGAATATCCACGGCAATGCGATCGACGCATTTATCTTATCCTTCATCGTTATTAACGGACAATTCCGTTTCGCACGTTCGTGAACTACTTTCTTTCTCGGCCTTCGCCGAGAGACAGAATCCGACACCGCTGGATAAAAACGATATCGCGACATTTTCTTTACGGGATCGCCATTAACATCGAGATCGGGGGAACGCGCGATCTACGATCGGGGCGCGGTAAATCGGCCGCAAATTGCTTGCTCTGGACCTTCGAAATCGGCATTTCGCCACTTTATCACGGCCACAATAAGGTCGCAGTAATAATGCAGGTGGTCGCGTATACACGTACCGTCGACACGATCGAGAGTAAGGTCGAATATCCCGTCTGCATTCGCTTTTTCATTCTAGGCACCGACGACGTAAGACACAGGAGTCTCATAGAAAGTATTATGCGTTACGGAATCGAGCCCTGGGATCTCAGGCGACTCGAGATCGTCGAAATCGTTCGGCGTTAACGAAGGTGATTGGTATTTCCGCCGTAACTTAATGCCTGGGTTACATAAGCACCGTAATGATTTAATATGCGCAAGCGCGGCCGTCATTCAGAACTAATTACGATGCCGAACGGAACGAAACGTTTATATAATGCGGCAACGCGCAACGCGTGATTGCGGACTGACCGAATTTAATGTTATGTCCGTATGAAACGGCCGCGCGGAGTGCTCGTTGCGTTTTACGAGCGGCTTTGCTATCGGCCGCGTAATGAGCGCGCTAAGTGGATGAATGAAGCTGGCCATGTAAATTGAGGCCGATCGAACTATCATCGCGCAGAAACGAGATCATTTCGTCGATCCCGCTGAATCGTCCCATCCCGCGCATTCGGCGAGAACGAGATCATAGCAACGGGACGAAGAACGCGGCTATCCGCGCGTATATAATTACGATGCGGAATACAGCCGCCGTCGTCGCGCTCTCGCGGCGACGATAAATTCTCCCTCGATGATCGTTGAAAAACTTTTGACAAAGTAAGCGGTAGTTTGTTACTCGGGGAAAGGAGAAAACGAGCGCGCGCGCGCGCAAGAAAGAGGAGTAGCTGGGGTATCTTTTTAAGGAGGTTGTATGGCGAAATGAGTTTGATAAGAATTCAATGAAACTTGCATTACGTATACGTTGAGATATAATTGCTCGTGCAATTAGAATAAGATTGACCGTTCGAGAGCTGATATTTGCGGTTTAAAAAATTGATACTTTTTATGTGTGCTCATTGAGATTAGCGTGCTATTTTTTAAATTTCTAAATACAACGGTGTCGAGTTCATAATTTATAGTAATACTCGAAATACATATACATAAGTACATCGAAAAAATTAGTCTTAAATTAAAAATTACATATATTTAAACACATATCTCTTTCTATTACTTGTGCATCTTTATTAGATGAACTGATGTACAAATATAGCACTAATATAGGAAAAATAGAAAGTAACAATATTTTCGTATTTGTAACATTTTGTATATATGTTTACCTCAACTTCGTTTCAAATTAACATTTATTACTCGGGTAGCGAAATAAATGTACAAAACGCAATGCTGCTTGATAAATACTAAATTTATAAGTGGTATACCCCTTGATATGCGCCACTGAAAATACGACGCCGGGCCTTACAACCTCCTTAATAAACGCAATATTTCGACGCATTCTCCGTCCGACGCATCTGTCGTGCCGAACGTGTTATAGATTATCAGAAATTAATGACGCAGGACAGAGCGGCGGACGATACGGACATGGTTGCACATCGTGTCGTCGCCGCAGATATCGTATCTACCTTCAGGAGATGTAACGTGACAGCTTCTTACGTGATTAAAAGTTCCCCGAGTTATCCGGGCTTAAACCTCGAAGACAACGTAACGTATCGCGTATATATGTTCATGCCGTACATATGTGTTCCTTTAATAACGAGCTCGATGCGCCTTTTTGCGTTTGCAATACGGGTTATCGCGTGACTAATTGTCGAGACACGAGTTAATTCGTTCCCGCGCGAGCCTGGACGCATAATCCTGGCTTTTGCCGTGTGGAAGCCCTTAACAATTACGAATCGCCATCCCTCGAGACCGCAGCGCGTTCGATTGATCACAATACACCCCGCCGTATACATCACGACGAGAGAGAAAATCAGAAAGATAATAATCTCCCGTCTAAACTGACGGCGATCCATCATAATCCACTGTGGCTCGAAATCCCATTAATAAAAGTGCGCCCTGCCTAAACGCGCGATACTTAACGGGACGCAGGTATCAATCTAAATTACGATTCCCAAGTGATCGTACGCGAGGAGCGTAATATGCAGGTGTGGAAGGGTCTCCATCGATCACGAGGATACGCCGTAGCCCCGAGCAGGATTCCCCCGTTATCCTGCTTGTCCACACAGGATAGGAATGGGATCGAGCGAGTCTGCGCTCGGTAACAGCCGGTCGCGCGCCTCTCCTCAGCGTCGTTCAATCAAATACTGTTGACCATCAATACCAATATTGGCCCAATGCATCGCCAATGAATTGTGCTACTAGGGATGCGTATCGCCAAAGTTGAAGGTACACGTTGAAATACAAACCCTACGTAATTACGAACGACGGTACGTATCTCCAAGTTTGGAGGTACTTCGCGATAATATCTCGAAATTCAAGGTACGTGGCTCGAAATGTCCCTCGTAATTACGTAGGATTTTTATTTCAACGTTGGCGATAAATGGTTAACAGTGAAGGTCTCGGTGGTTCGAGAGAGAGAACGAGGATTTCACCTTCCACCTTCGCACGACGTCGATCTCGAGTTCGACGCGCGCTCGGGATTACCTTACGAAAGCCTCGTTGCTATCGCTAGCGCGCGACACGACTGCCTTTTGAGAAGAAGGCACACCTCGAGGGACCCCTTGACGTTTACAAATAGCTGTGAAAAGGCTCGTACATTGTAGGCACCGGTAGGCGTGCGCGTCACTTCCCGGCGTACAGATCCCGCGACCGGAACACATGTCGGATCCTGCCGGCGCGGTGCAACAGGCGATACGACCGCGGAGCGAGAGAGCCGCCGATCGTTTATCTTCCGGCGCGATGGCGTGGAAATTGAACGATCATGTCTGCGCGACCGAAGCTGGACTGCCACGGATCGAACGTTTCGCCGTGCCGCGTCGCGGATCGGATTTAATACGTTTATGATAATGGTTACACGTCGTTCGCGATCGCCATGCGTAACGCTCAACGTGTATCCTTTCGTTCCGGTTCGCCGGATCCTTTAACGTGGCATCCGTTCTCTCCCTCCGTTCGATTAAACTCGCTCGCTTAATGTATCGTTCGATGTCGAGTTAATTGACGTGCATGCGCGAGCACACGAGATTTTAACGACAATGAATCCGCGGTGAAATTATTCACGCCGCGGATGAGACGAGGAAGAGAGAGAGAGAGAGAGAAAGCTCGCGTGCATGCCTTGTCAAGTTCGTTTTCGCCGATTCGATTACACGAGTCCTTAACGAAAGCGTCTCGAGATGAAACGATTTAGTATCTGTTTAACACGATATATATCGCGGCCGTAGCTCCGCTCCCTACGTGCCTCCGCGAGGATACGTCGACGCGTCGGTCCGTCGCGCCGCCCGGCGAAAGAGAAAGAAGAGACGGGCATTAAATTAAGATCCGACGGTGTAAAGTAAGCCCGGGCCCCGAACCCGTGGC